TCAGTCAGTTCTTTTAAATGGGTCAGAAACTTTGCAAACTTTTATCAACAGCTGCTGTCAAGGAACTTAACCCTAAGTTCCTATAATTTGCGAAGATACTCCGAATCGATAATTACTAGAAACGATTATCGACTTTAAATCCAAAACACAAGCACTGATAAAAAAATTATATTCTTCGGCAGTTAAATTCGATATCATTACAAAGTCTATAAACAAATGTTTTACAAGGAATGTACTGTACTTTTATTAGTATTCTTTCGTCTTCTGTCAAATTGTACACGATTGAACCTTTTGCGCCTTCGAGTTGCCCGCCAATGGTGACCAAGGCCGATGAACCAACGTTTAATGTTCACGTTCATTTACAGCTGCCTACACTGGTTCCATGCTGAAGATCAGATAGTCAGCTAGAAAGAATTAGCAACTAGAAATTCTGGGAAAGAACTAATCAAGAACCTATTGCTCAAGAAATATCTTGAAGAAAATGGGGACGAATTGGACACAAGCTAAGGAGACCGTCGAATGATACTGAGCGTCAGGACATGGCTAGCGTTGCATTCCTACTTCTCTAACAGAATGCAGTACACCGTATACAAAGGTAAATCCTCCTCTGCTGCGCTCACTGAAGCTGGTGTCCCCCAAGGTGCTGTACTCTCCCCACTTCTCTTTTCTTTCTTTCTACATGATTTAATATCTTCGAATGACATTAATTTTGTCAAATATGCTGACGACCTGACAGTATCTTTGCCTGTCAAATGTCAAAGTGACTGCTCTAAACTAAATGGCTTTCTGTCAGAAATCAGCCAGTGGTCCAAGGAAAACGGTCTTACCTTAAACCCCTCCAGATGCCAAACAGTCAATTTCACCTTTAGGCATAAATCCGATCTGAACAAACTGGTTGGCTCTCACGAGGTGTGCAACATTGATGGCACTGAAATAGAAACCAAGTTGGAAATTAAATACCTAGGCGTCATTCTATCTGCTGATCTTTCCTGGTCGTCTCATATCTTGGCCATTTCTAAGAAAATTTTCCGTCTTACCTTCTACATCAAGAAGTTAAAACATTCTGGGATAACCCAACCCTTACTCCTACAATTCGTTAACTCTCGCATTCTGCCTATTATTCTCTATTGTTTCCCCTTAGTTTTTCCTGGGCTACTGAAGAAGGACTATAACATATTACGCAGGATGTTAAAGGTTGTCAGCAGGGTAAGCAACGTGCCACTTAACCAGCTTGTTAATATTCTGGTCGAGAGGCACATGGACTCATGTGAAAAATGGGCTGAATCCATTTTATCTAACTCACACCAACCTCTTCACTCACAACTCTCCCCTTGCATCTCATCAGGCAAAACCAGAAGCATATATAGAAAACTATATGCTCTCACCAGCAAGTACAAAAACTCAACCATACCCTACTTAGCTCGTGTTCTGTGCGATAAAGAAAGCATTAGGCGTGACACCTATAATTCATTAAATGGTCAGTAGAACAACTGGACCTCGTCTTTCCAACTCATATCATTTATAGGTACAACATTTTCTTTCTTTCTTCTCCTTTTCTCTCTCTTTTTTTCTCCATTATGTGCTTCATTGTTTCTTCCTCTCGCTTACGCCAGTAAATATGACAGCTCCTACTTTTCTAACACCTTCAAACACTGTTCAACTTTGGTTTTGCTACTGACATGCCAATATATTTTTGTCATAATGAACTGAGATTTCCTTAATCTATTTAAAATTCTATTTATTGATAATGTACTAACTGGATGCAATACTGTAGTAAAAATGCTGAGAATTACATTCTGTATCACATGTACTGTTTTGGAATAAAGCAAATTATTATTATTATTATTAGAGTGGAACCCGAATGGGAAGCAACTAGTTGGGCGAGTGTCTGAGGGTGACAGGGGGGAGGAAGTGATAGAGTATAGGTAATCATGTAGTCAGCCAAAGGGGATTGCAGAAAACTGGATGAGGTGGAGATGTGCTGTTGACGCCGTATATTCATTCCTCTTCAAACCTATGAGAATTTTAATAACACCTCATAAATTAATACACTTTAATACAACTCAGTCTCTACTGTGACAATTTGTTAACTCCCTCATTTTGCTTATTATTCCTTATTGCCCTCCCCATTATTCTTTCCCTTCTATGGAAAGTGACTTATGGAAGTTTCGTGGATCGATCATTAACGTTTTTCTTTTAAATTTAGACTTATCTAAATTAATATGTGGAAAGTATTTTATATTGACTGGCAAACCACTGGGACTCAATCCAATGGCTAACTTCTCCCCATTTGCAATATATGCAGTGCAACCGTCAGCCAGTGTTGTTGGCGAATTTTTGTCTTCATATCTGACTTAGTGGATCTCACTGGTCCTGACTTTTAACTAGGATTCAGAGCCATATTTTTACCAGTAAGCATTAGAATAATTGCAGACTAGAAGTCAGAATTCATGCCCCATTGAGTTCAATTCCAGTAGCTGGCTGGTCAACGAGCTTGTCTCTTAACATGAAGGTCGTGGGTATGACGACTGGTAAGGTTATGAGTGAGAACTGCTGAAAGCTCACAAACTAGAATGAAGCAACTGTCCAGTTCTCCTCGGTTTTCTCTGGTTCTCTAACTGATTTTAGTTCTTGATCTAACTTGGTATCTCAAACTTTGTTGATTCTGCAAGTGGAAACTTATTTCTCTTAATGTCTGTTAACTAATGGAACTTATAAACTCAGAAATAAGCCATGAAAATAGAAAATCAGCAGAATCGTTGAATGAAACAGGTTAATGTTGTCTAGCTTCGATGTATTTAAACGTTTGAAAAATAATGTCGGCGGTTAATAAAAATTTAAACATGTAATCTAATCAAAGATAATTTGACTACTGATATATGATTAAAGTAATCTAGTAAATCTGTAAATAGAATTATTAGATGGTTGAAGGTAATCGAAAGGAAACCTTGGACTTTACCTTCGTTTTTCCGAACACTTACCAGTCGGCAAGGTGTATCTGTAATCTTGAAGGAACTCATGTCCCTTCTGAGATTTGAACCCGTGTTGGCCAGCGCTTCATTCAGAGTCCAATGAAAATATCCCTACAAGGAGTTGATCACGAGCCCGAACAAGTCAATGGTGACGTCTATAACTGCAGCGCTTGGTGAGACAGGTTCGAGTCTCAGAAAGAACGTGGGTTCCTTCAAGACTGCACATATGCCTTGCTAACTCGTGAGTGCCAGCAAACACGAAACCTAGGTTAGGTAGGTCTTCGTTCAGATTGCCTCCATCCATCTAACAGCAATCCATCGGTCGGTCGGTCGGTTTTCCACATAGAACTTCGCACATATGTGCAGCAGTTCAAGTCACCACACTCCATGTAGCACACAAAGCAAGAGAAGAAAGTAGGAGAAATGCATAATATAGACAGTAAACAGAGGTGTGAGACAAAGGAATAGTAATAACGGAGAACAAAACAGTTTCATTGGAAATCATAAGTCACAAGGAGTGGATGCATCTGCACCAGCCATTGAGAACGATTTTGAGCCATGTCACCAATTGTTTCCATCCATTGGTGTTTACGGTCCCGAGGACCCCAACCAGGAAGTCTACACCTTCCTAAGTGGCTTAGACTAACTGTTGTAGATTTCATTTACTGATGCCATGTTTTGGTTTGACCACCGCTAGCTCTTTTCCAGTCTGGCCCTATGTCAGCTAGCTAACATTGCCCTTTGAGGAAGGCGATGACTAGGCATACGTAATACATGTCCTAACCATCTCAGTCGATGTAATTTCACAGTCGCGTCGACTGATTTCCCTCCTTACCTAGCACTCGACGCCTAACCTCAATATTGCTCACCTTATTATACCACTTCACGCGGGAGATGGAACGCAGACATCTATGATCGAAGACAGCTAATCTTTTCATGTCTTCTGCTCTCAATGGCCAGGTCTCACGGCCATAAAGGAGGACTGAGCGGACTGTTGAGCAGTACACACGCCCTTTGGTCGACAACAATCCATAGTGCACCGTGGTCGGGAGCCGCCTAGTGTGGTGGTCACATCGCAAATTTGACTGACAAAATTTACAAGAGTTTTTTCTGTAGGGATTCGGTTTGTTTCAAGTTTGATCACGGATCGATATTAGCTAGAGGATCATTGAAAACCAGGGAATACTAGACAACTGTTACGTCCTAGCCGGAGACTCTTGAAATGTATCATATCAACCCTCGAAAAGTAATCTAATGCTCCCTAGTGACTGATTACAAGACAAAGTTGCCTGGAGTTCTAATGAGAATTCATAACCAGTGGGGTCCACGCAGTTTGGAGCAAAGAAAAATACTCACAGATGACATTGGTTGGTACCAGGCGCTCTAAAATCACGCATTAGTAGAAGTTAGAATTCATAGGAGTGCGTCGGTGGTATAGCGGTTAGGACGCTCGCCGACCATGCACATGGTCCGGGGTTCTATCCCTGGCCACTGACGCACTCCTTTACCTCGTTAAGCCAGAAGTAATGCTGGTGAAGAGTAAAGGTTGGGCATGAGGCTAGCAACCCCATCCTGTAAAATAAACACCACTGCTACAGAAACTTCAAGCCTCTAGCTTGAAGCCCTATGTTCCACTGGGGAACGTGAAGGAAAAAAAAGAATTCATGGGCTGGCCATTAAGTCAGGTCTCAGTGGCTCAATGGTCTACCAGCTTGCCTTAGAACCTGGAAATCTTGAGTGCACCCAATAGGTACATACTACCAATGAGTCCCAAACTGGGACGAAACAGCTGTCCAGTACCCCTTGTTAGTTCTTTAAATAATATCAATCTGTGGTAAAGTAAATAGAATGTTTCATCATTAAAAGTGAAGTTTATTTGCAAAAAAAGGAAACCATATGAATAACAATGGCAAATAAAGAACTCTGTACAACATTATCATTATCATTATTATTATTATTACTATCATTGTTATTTAAAGCTGAATCTGTATAAGCAAAATTTGAAATAAACAAATGCAAAATTGATGCAGACAGAAAAAAAACAAGGTGAAGAAACCAACCAAACTTTCTCATTGCATAATCAGTTTACACTTGAGTGAAATAACAAGACTGGCATTTTTTAAAATATTTTGATTTGAGTAATTAATATTCGAACTGACTGAATATGATAGATAGACTAGATAGGTCTGTTACAAAATTTGTTAATTCGTAGTCAGTAGACAAGAAGAAAAGAAAAGAGAAAAAAACACCATTAAGGGAGAACTTCATCGTCCCGGCGAGGCAAAAAACAAACATCACCTGAGTAGGTAGGTAGGTATTGGTAGGCAGTAGATTGGTATCCTAATTAATATTGGTGATGAGTTTATATACAAAAAACAAACCAAGTGTATGTTTGTTTATTATTATTCAATAAAAGAGTCTGAGATGAGATGAGATGGGATTAGATGAAATGCAAAAACAGAAACAGTGAGTGTTGGTTACAAATTTATTACTTACTGTATTACTGAAATCATATACATACAATATATATATATATAAACAATAAAATGTGCTCATTTTCTTTCCAACAAAAAAACGAAACAAAAAGAAAACAGAACAAGTTATAAGTAATTAAACTCATAAGATGTTATTAGTTCGATAAACTTTGAAAATGCGGTCTCTGTTTGTTAATTACGACTAAATGTGATTAGTTTAGGCGGTGCAACCGATTGCTTTGTAGATCTGTGTAATATATTAGGACTAGAAGATTTTCGTATACACGGCGTTGTCGTTGAACGAACTAAACATGTAGATAGTGGAGAAGGGATGGCGGTTTTATTTTCTGAATCATTGTTATTCGTATTATTATTATTATTACTGCTGTTGTTATCATTGCACTCGATTAAAGAGTTCTTTGAACTTGTTGTACTGAAATGAAACTGAGGTGATGTCAGTGATAAGTCATATTCTGCTTCTGAAGAATCATCTGCTGATTCTTCTTCACTTTCACTGGGTACTTCTAATCCAGAAACTAGTCGTACACGAGTATAATGACTTAAACTAATTGCAGGATAGAATAGATGCCTTCTTTTGACATTATCTTTACTCTGACTTGATTTCTCGTCTTGTTGTTTAACCTTTAAATTTGTAAATGCTATTGGCCCATGTGGTTCACCATTCAGATAGAAGGCTAGACAACCTCGTTCACAGTCTAATCGTACACCAATTTTAGTAGTTTTGCTTGAATTGATATTTTGACTGATTCCATTTGTATCAGTGATGATATCTTGATGTGTTATTTTTATCCCACCGTCTGTACGATCTCTATGTTCACCTTGATGAAGAAACCATGATCGATGGGAATTAAAGTAGATTGCCCAACCGTATTCATCTTGACCTGATTGCAAAAAATAATAAGAAAGAAAGAAAGGTGAATAATATCGACAATTTGAATGTTTGTATATTATAAAATAATGCGTTAAGAGAAAAAAAATGTTGACTTGCAACAGAAGCATCATTTAGATAAAGCAATAAGAAGACGTAATTTGTCTGAATCGTCTTGTAATGTATTTGCCCAACACACTTCGAACAATCCGATCACACACGGACTTGTCATAGGTATATATATGATATTAATAAAGAGTTAAGAGGTGAGAAAATAGCCTTAGGTCAAGTTAAAAGGACATATTCAAGGTCAAAATAAAAATGAAGACCACTAAACCAAATAGCAGAGGTAATAGTACATCTGCTATGATATCAAAACAAAACAAAGTTTACCAAGGGAGGTTTAGTGTGATGACGAACTGTTTTTGAACGCATACAGGTGCGTTAAACGAACTAACTGCTAGGCCTTCCACAAACTTTAGGATACGCCCCAAACACGTTTTTATAGATAGGTTTAAAATATGTGTAAACGTCAATTTTATGTCCTGTCTCTACAATAGGTTTCGAACATGCGAAAAATGACGCCATATCCCACTGTATTTACCAATTTAAATGTACGTGTAGACACACATACATAGGGAGGACTCATCGATCTCTGCAAGTAAGGGCTTCATAACATATTCCTAAATGGCTTCGGAAACAAAGGGAATCTTCAGAACCTATTAATGGTGAGAACAGGAGACAAGTGCATGTGTGATCAGATTGTTCGAAATGTGTTGGGCAAATACATTACAAGACGATTCAGAGAAATTACGTCTTCTTATTGCTTTATCTAAATTCATAAAGGGAACTAATTGTTTTAAATTTTTAAAGAAAAGCATCATTATTCCAAGGGTTAATGTAAGAGGTGATTGTGAATTCAAACCAACAGTTTATCGAAGGCGAAGCTAATACTCGGATTGAAATCATTATTTCTGATATTATTTATTCTTTGCATTCTGATTGGAACATAGGACCTTAGCCACATATCTTCACTTCATTCACTCCACCCCATCAGTGCTTACTACCTTTTTTACTTTCCACGTCACACCACTTCCGCTCAACTCATCGCTTCCCTCTAGGATTCCAACCCGACAACCCGACTAGTGTATGATGTCATTCGACGGTCTTCTCAATGTGTTTTCAATATATCTCCGTTTACTTTTGCATATTTGTTAGCCACTAGGTTCTTGGTTGGTTCTCAGCTTATCATTTCTTGCCTGCTGTCTGGTCTTCAGTATCTTCTATCCAGAGAAGGAGGGGGCTGTTTGTGAAAGTCTGCACTATGGATTGACCTATTCAACTCAAAATAGCATAGTTCATACTTCATGAAATTACTTCAGTTGTATGATTTTGTAAAGAAAACGGTAGGGTTAAATTAATTTAGCAGTTTTTAATTTACACAGATCAAGGAGGTGGAGCTACATACTACTAACTGATGGATATGAGTAGTTGGACATTATTCACATCGACCAGTAACGTTTTGTAGCCAGATTGAAGAAATCTAAACACTGGACGGCCAATTCGCTCGTTTTGCGGCCGAATTCATCAGAGGTGCTCACAGTGTGACTCAGCTAAAAGAGTGGAATTAGTCTACACCACCCGAATTACGGCTACCTACCTCGAAAACAGAGTTGTGTCAACCATGGAAAGCATGTTTTGGAATTTTTGGTAACTGAAAAAAAATAACTGTCCACTTGTTTTAAAATAACATCTTTAGAGTATCCATAAATGTTGTTTTCTAAACAAAACAATTCAATCTAATTTGGATGTATACATCTAAATTCTGGATACGCTTATAAATAGTGTATGTATAGTATATGTTTACACAAGTAACACTTTCATGCCATATTGAGTACAAAATGAAAGAAAGACAAATTATCTGAAAACTTATTATCTTTCCTATTCTTTTTTCCAACATCCTCAGGCAAATAATTCCTAAACTAGAATTACTGTTATCGTTATTATTGTCCTTAATATATAAATGACAAAATTTACATTTCGAATGTTGATTTAGTCAATAACCAGTATCATTTAGACGATCATAGAGAACCAAGGAGCTATAAACGCCTGCTTCTTACTAGTTTGGGTTTCATCAGTAGTGCGCAACCATGACCACCACCCCACCAGAGATCGAACCCTGAACCTTCAGGTTACAAGGTTAGCTCGTTGGCACTTTGGCCACTTGATCCGTTAACTATAATCAGTGTCAATTTGTGATATAGCTACTAGGGATTTCGACTGAAGAGGAATGAAACCATATGTTAAGAAAATGTGGAAAAGTCTTCCCTCAGTGAAATTTGAAGCTGAACAATTTTAGTTTATTGTTTAAATTGTTAAAATGTTTTATTTGTTTTTATTTTTATTACGTTGAACGTCAATCATTGACACCGATGAGAAAACATATTGATCAACTTTCAAAGCTTCGTGCTCCTAAGCAGAAAGAGGAACCTGATATATGCTCTTTCCTCAAGGATTCGGAAGATATGCAGCGAGGAAGTGATTGAAGAAGAACTGCGTAATCTTCGAAAACCCCTGATGGAAAACGGTTTTCCGCCCAGGTCATAGACAGGAATCTTAAATCTAAGAAGATACTTCTGCTCAATCTAGAATTCAAAGGTGGTATTGAAGCAGAAATCCTTCGTAAACGCCTCTCCAAATCTCTGAGGTAAACATACTTCGCCGCGAGCCTACGACTGACGTTTTCTTGCAAGAAACTGTTCATCCAGAACGCGAAAGACAAGCTGTCGCATTGGGCCACCTCGTCGTGCATATACCAGTTTACTTGCTCTTGTGGAGCTGAGTAAATCGGCCGTACCATGCGCCAACTTGAAAAACGCACTCGCGAACACTACCCAGCCTGGCTAGTAAAAGGAGACCAAAAACGTGTATACAGTTCAGTGACAGAACATCTGGTCAACTCAGGACATTCAGCGCCTTTCGAAAAATCCTTCGAAGTAATATACAAAAATCAATCAAACCTATCAAAGGGAGTGAAATCAAGACATCTGGGCATAGTTGAGGCGCTAGCTATCCAAAAGCTCAAATCCACACTTTGTATCCAAAAGAAATACGTCCAACCCCTGTCCCTGCCATGGCCATCATAAAAAGGTAATTCTTTTAGTAATGACCTTCCCATCGCCTTTCCTATCTAAACTTCCTGTTTATTCATGTTATTTTAAGTTTTTCTTAATCCCTGTCTACACTACCACATTTTCATATCCACTCTTCCTGTTTATTTTGTCATTTTACTATTTCTACATATTTAATCCCTGATTGCATAAACAATTATTCATCACATTAGTTTTTTTATCCAAACATCCTGTCTATTTTTGTTATTTCTACATTTCTAACCCCCAATTGCACAATGTCAGTCTTCTTAGTTATTATAATGCTACTTTGTTTGAGTTTTATCCGTCTCCCTGTTTATTATGGCATTCTAATTCCCAATTGTAATTTTTATTAATTTGACCCTTAACCGGAAATTATTCTGCAACTTTCCCATCCATTTGATATAAATACACGAATGTATAGCCTAGATGATGACTTTATCGAAAAGAAAATTTTCTTCGCTGCAATTGTCTTTCTAATAACTCCTTTGACCCAATGTGTATATTCCGTGATTTGAAAACATATATGTTTGAATAATTTTAATCATAGTGGGGTAGTTTCTAAGAGTTTTCCAGTCGAAAATTCAGGAAAGACAGAATAAGATTTAAATGCTCATAAATGTTATACTTTGGTTCAATTCTTGGCATAACACAGATCAACTTTAAAAGTAATTCATCAGTGTATATCGCATCATTGCGGAATTGATTAGGTGGACAGATCACGTTATTTGATATGATAATAGTTTGGATAGTAAGTATCTAGGATCAACTCCAGGTGATGCTATGAAGTGGTCTTCTTCTTAAAATACTAAAATTTAGATCTAAGAAGAAGATTTACTATAAGATACGCGTATTTGGGAACTGACCTACAAAGGAATTGATAGTTCTTAGTTTTTCTGAAAATTTTGTCATTTTGTATTGCAGAATATCTGTAAACTTGTAAACTATGTATAATTTATAGCCATGAGTGGAATACTACAACCAACTGCAGCACTGGGTTCGAGCCTCGGTGGTAACATCGTCACTCGCTGGAGAATGCAGGTACATCCAGATGACGAGTCCCAAACAGGACGAAATGCGCATCCTGGATTCCACTGCTAGTCACCATCCATCAATTAACCTCTAATTCTGAATATTATAATCATCAGGAAGATTTTTTATTTGAGACAAATAAAGTTTACAGAAAGATTATTGAAACTTTTTGGATAGTTGATTAAGCCATCTTTAATGCTATTCTCAATGGAAGACATTATCCGGAATATACTGGATTCGGGGAAAAAAATCAAATTATGTGTGCGGATCTAATTTCAATATTAATTATGATCATTGAACAAAGTCTAGAATGACAGTCTAGAACCTCCACCTAAACTTTATCTACTTCGAAAAGACCTTCGATAGCATCAACTGAGAAGTAATTTGGCAATTACTTCAACAATACCGAACGCAATGCTACAAACATTTATGGACCTCAATCAACAGCTATGTGATAATGTCACATGCCAAGTGGTTTACAGCGGAAAGCTCACCGAAGTGTTTGAATTGAAGACAGAATGGAGTAAGATAAGGTTGCCTACAATCACCAATGATTTTCCTAATTGTGATGGACTCAACTATTCGACAGACTGTGGAAAGTGGGAAGGCAGACACACACTGAACTGACAGACAGACCCTAGAAGACTTGGATTTCGTGGATATCGCAAAGAAAATCAGTACGTAGAAAGAAGCACTGGTGAAGGCAAGGAGGAACTCAGGGGAAAGTAGTGAGGACAGATGTCATAAAGATATACGAACAACCAACGATAAACACTGATAACCATCAACCAGAGATATCCAAAGAAAGCCGTCTCCTTTTGCGTTGGTGGCA